TTTTTTTATGTTCATATCCATAACTATCTAGTTAGTTTAGCTATTTTTAAAACTGTAGAACTTTTTTGCTATTTTTTTCTTTAATTAAAATGTCAAGTTCTACTAATAACTCTGCGCATTTTGCATTTCCATTCGGGTTGCAATGTTTATTTTGTCTTCATTCATTTGTCTAACAGTTTGACAAACAAAAATAGAAAAATTTTTAACTTAGCACATTTTGCTTTAGTCAGTTTTTGCTTACACTCTTGTAGCAACAATAGCGTTTAAATTAAATTGCGACTTTCTTTATAAAAATGACTTCCATTTCTATAAATGCAAATTCTCAAGTACCATGAAAAAAAAGTATTCATGCTTTGCTAAAGGGCGCTATGAGAATGAGACAAGGTGTGCGATATGTGATAGTTACTTGTTTGTTGCTAACAAAGTAGCTACTGACTTAGACTGCCATGTTAACAGAGAGAAACATAAACACCTATTCAAAGTGTCACCGTCATCAAATAAATTGACTTTCTTTTTTTCATCCTAAAACTCAAAGATATAGCAGAAAACCTACACAGCTGAAGCAACTTTGGTATTTTACACAACATTTTCTTATATAACAATAATGGATATTATACTGTATTATTTATTCTTATCCGGTGTCAGTACCATGGCAGTAGAGTCGGAGTCTTGCCCCCCACCATAAAATAGCCCCAATCTTAAAAACCTTCTGATATTAAGTATTACTATAATTAAGTATGTTCTGCTTTATCCTATTTTTAGCTTTTTTATGTCCACCTTTATGCAAGCATATATTTGGCAACCCTAGTTGTATGAGTCAAAAGAACATGAAGATGGGAGAGAGTTTCCAAAGAGATGAGGTACATGAAAAATAAACTAGTTGAATGAAAGTTTTGAGAGCACAAAGGGAGAGATACATTAACAGGATGAGACTTTGCTGAATGATAAGTTAAACTAAGGATGAGTTTTTGTTAATGGAACAAGAGGTGATACTTCAATCAAGCAGTAGCCATGATAGTATTTGTAGAAAAGAGAAGAGATGCAACCTTACAACAATAAGAGAGGGGCTAAAGCTTGGCAGAGAGAGCAGGTCCAACTATGTTTACAATGTATTTTTGGAACTTGTCTAGAAAAGAAAGAGAATCATTAAAAGAACCAGCCCAAAAATGACAACAGTATTCCATACAGGAATGACTAAGAGATTTGTAAATGCAGAGAATGTAATCAGGAGTAAGAAAATGGTGAACACGATAAAGAGAAGCAACCTTACCAGATGGCCACTTAGCAACCAATTGTATATATAGTTTCTATGAGAAGTCAGTAGTGAATGAATATCCAAGTAGAGGTGGAGAAGAGGACTCAGTGAGAGGGTTACTATTCATCAATATAGGAATATCGACAATATTGTGAGTTTTCAACAGTAAATAACTGAGTTTTGTTGCAGTTAAAATTATGTAATCAAAAAGAAAAGACTTTTTGTCAAGATAGGAGTTAAGCCATCAGTAAATAAAGAAAAACTATAGATGTAGGAAGATTATTAATGTAGATAAGAAACAAAACAGGACCAAGGATAGAACTTTGAGGTACCCCAGAAGTGACAGGATATAAAGAAGAGTGTTGGCCTTTGAGGATGACTTTGATAAAGATAAAAAAAAAAAGATTTGATCTCAAAATCTTTCTCAGATACACCATATGAAGCAAGCATATGGAGAATACTAGCATGCCAACTTTGTCACAAGCTTTAGATGTCAAAAGCGTAGCCCTAGTCTCACCTCTTCCATCCAATGCACAATAAAATGTTTCATTCACAGCAGTTAGCAAGTCAGCCATAGAGTGAGAAGATTTAAATCAGTATCGATTGTCTGACTCAAAATAAAATGTTAGAAATTTGTTGATAAAAGACTCAAAGACCTTGCTAATAACAGAAAAAAGACTGATGAGATGATAGTTGGAGGGCCAATGTTTGCTAGAGTTTTAAAAATTGGAAACACAGACGCTATTTTCCAGCCAACAGGAAAACAAAATTCATTTGAGCACTTATTAAATAGTCCAGAGAGATTTAAAGAGAGTTCTGAAGAACATTTTTGTAAAAATATGACAGGAATGTTGTCTGGACAACAAGCCATAGAAAAATTTAATTGAGATAATACTTTAGCAACTAAAGAAGAATTGAATGTCTATCAACGAAAAAAATGATTTTGATTAGCAACTGGACAACTGCAAGATGGTGAAAACCGTGGAGTAGAACGAGGCTTGACTTGGAACCGACAACAAGGAATAAGAGCATCCATTCCTTCCTGGATACAGAAGGTTTCATAGGAGGTGCATTTATAAGCGGAGAGAAAAAAGACATTAGCACAAGGACTGTCACAAAAAAAATCATGAAAAGAATCCCAATGAGCTTTAGGGTAGTAGCAAGTAGTGTAATGGGTGAGTCTGAAGAAGAAGTGCAAGATTTGAGACGAAACGACATAAGATTTGAGACGAAATGACGTAAAAGACAAAAGATTTATAGAGATGATTGCATTGTCGGAACCACCTAAAGGAGAACATGGAGAAATTGAACACAAGTTAGGGTCAGAGACACAACACAACTCAAAGAGTGAAGGTAAGTGATTAGGGATGGTAATTAGGGTTATCTGGAAAACAAGTCACAAAGATAACTATCTGAGTAAAAGATTGAGAAATGCAGAAGCTATGGGCGGTAGTGTCAGCAGGGTCAGTGGTGTTAAAACCAAATCATTCAGTGTGATGAGTATTAAAGTAAACAAGAATATTTAAAGGGTTTAAACCTTTTTGACAAATAGATGAATTGGTGCTTAAATATATCCCCTAGCCAAGCATGTGACTATTATATAAGATAGTATTCATCAATACTGAGATCTAAAGAAGGGAAAGCCTTATTTAAATTAGTCTAACAAAGAGCAAGCAAGCCTGGTGATTTCTGCAAGAGGTAAGATTCAACTGATGAAAGGTTACTTCCAAGACCACAAATATTTGTAAAAGATATATTAAAACAAATAGATAATGAGGATAGTTTTTGATGTTTAATTTTTTGGGTTACATTGGACATGATTAAAGTTTAAATAGCACTTGACTCATTCATAAACAGATCACAGCATCCAAAGCAATGAGCTAGGCAGTTGTCTCAGTCCTGCTAATTACAGGGTTATTCATTCTTATATACGCATCTATTTATTTTTATATGAGCTTTTATTCATTTTTATATGCACATCTATTCATTTTTATATGCGTCTTTATTCATTCTTATATGCGTATTTATTCATTCTTATATGCGCATTTGTTCATTTTTATATGATTGTTTATTCATTCTTATATGCGTTTTAAAAAAGCAATTTGAACAAAAAAAAACATTTAAATGTGCGCAATTTGTTTCGAAAAAACAATTTTTTTTTTCAAAACAAATTTTTCTTATTTCCTGGTAAACGAGGTTAAAAATACGAAGACGAAGACTTTTTACAATGATGATGGTTTATTTAATTTAGTATTAGATCTTTGTTTAACTTTATTATTAAATTTATTGATTGATTAAATTATTATTTATCTAAATAGTCATTTATCTAGATTTAAATTTATTTATTTATAATTATTAAATAAATTTAGTACTGGCTCGGCAAGCATTTTTTAAATAAATTGCAGTGGCAACAACCTAATTTGTATTTTAAGTATATCTATATTAAAACATAAAAGCTAATTTATTGTTTATATAAAATTATATTAGAGATTTTATGGGTAGTTGACTCGCATATATAAACGCGCATATAAGAAAGAATAAATGCGCATATAAGAATGAATGAATGCATACAAGAATGAATAAAGAAGCATATAAGAATGAATAAAGAAGCACATAAGAATGAATAAACAAGCATATAAAAATGAATAGACCTGCATATAAGAATGAATAACCCTGTAATCCTAAGTCATAACTTAGGGCTCCTTACATGGCCTCAACAATGCACACCAAAATCATTAACAGCATCACCAACTATGCACCATCTGTGCCCATGGCACTGTTAATACTTTAACAATTTACAGCTGTTGATGGCATCAGCTTTTCTGAGAGCTGCCACAGAGTTTAGGAAACCATACTACCATTTGACCTCAGAACCATTAAACTGAGTTTTAGAGCTGTAACCTCATTAGGAGATAGCATAAACAATTGCAAAGCCACTATCAAGGAGATACAAGAAAAAATCTGAGTATAAAAGATTTACTACTTATTATACTTGGCAGGAAACAGGTTTACATCTACACCAGCCAAATAGATGAAGGAGTTTGAGGCTGGTCAACAGAATCATTCTGCTTACCCCTAAAGCCTTTGCCTAGGAGGAAAAGGCTTTAGGGGTAAGCATTCTACACAACAGTAACTGGGTAGAGAAAACATCTGCCCCAGATAAGTATTTTTATCAAGACACCATCTCTAGCCTTTACTCAACCAAAAGCCCTGAGGCAAAGGATTTTAAAATCAAAGTTTATTTCTCCTAGCCTGGCAGCAAGGCATGAATTAGTACTGGGTTTCATGATACCAGTAGCAGAGTAATCGTGATAATACTGAACCTTACCTGACATGGAGTAGTTAAAAGAAGTTACTTCCTGCAAGCAGTACTTTAATGCATTAATGTCAGTTTTTTGGAAATGCATTAGGAAAAATATTACATTTAACAGAATACTAGATATTAAGGTGAGCGTAACTTTTAAATAACTCATTTATATTTTAAATAAGTTGTTTTGGAGTACATTTAAATATTTATTAAATTGTTATATGGTGAATGTTTGAATATGTTTGCATTAACTTTTAAATAATTTGTTTAGGCAAGTTTAATTATTTCTAAACTTATTTTCTAAGGTTTATCTTGTTTTCAAATTTTAATAAATTAAATAAAATTCCCCCCCCCCCTCCCACTCCCTTTGTTATAAAAAGTGTGTGATTTTTGTTTCCAAATAATATATGCAAAATTTTTTATAAAAAGAAAAGATATAAATGATAACTTCAATAATTCGTGCAAGTCTATCACACTTATGCTTTAGTATTTTCTCATCGTTTAACTTCTCATCATTCAAAATAAGATGTTCCAACAACACACTGAACAAATAATTAGCATAACTTGATAGTTTATCTGATAAACCATTGTGCACAGCTAGCTATAAAACAATGTTATATTATTTATAATTATATAAATAGTGCTACAGAAATAAATAAACAACTTAAACATTTATTATTATTTGAAAACTAATCAAATGACTATTATGTTTTGCGAACCCTATGAATATCAAATCATTGGATAACTGGAAAAACAGCACCAATTTCAAAACAAAAAATATTTTCAAAATAATTAATGTTTTTTAACACCATATAACATATCTCTCTATATACTGAATATGGTACAACATATTTCTGTATAAAGGTAAATATTAATACAAATTTACCCACAAACACATAGATATGAATTACCTCATATAAATAATTTGTATTGAAATAAAAATAAAACAATTCTTAAAGATATGAATTATCATTATACATGAATGAGTTATGTAACTAAAAAATAAAATCCATAAATTTTAGTAAAAACAACTTACAGAAATTATTTCTCTAACAAAAACAATTGATAACAAACTTGAGTGGCCAGTAACATCATCATTTTGTGCAGAAGGTTGAACTATCCAATGCAATACAGCTTGAGAAGAAGTGAGACTTTGTAACTGAGTTTCTTCATCATTACATTGGTCAATGAATATTTCAAGTATTTTACTGGAAGTACACTCTTTACCACAAAATAAAATTAGAAGTTCAAAAATCTAAACAAAAAAATTTTAAATGATTAAAATTTTATATATATATATTTTTTGTGCAACATATTGTCAGTCTATTAAAAAGTAAACTACACTACTTACAACAGTCACAATATTAACTACACTGTAGTATTGTGTTATGCATTTAATAATGTAAACTACACTATACTGTAGTATTGTGTTATGCATTTAATAATGTAAACTACACTATACTGTAATATTGTGTTATACATTTAATAATGTAAACTACACTATACTGCAGTATTCTGTTATGCATTCAACTACATTATATTGCATTAATCTGTTACATAGTATAGCTCACACAGTTTTATAAGTTAAGAAGCTTAAGGACACTAGACTTTGAAAATACTTTTTGTTTTTAAACAGTTTGAGCTAAATTGGATATGGTCTTTAGTGATAAAAAAATTACAAATTTTTAAACATAGATTACTTGACCCACAATAAATGCCAATTTGTGTATCTATGCACTATATTTTACTGCAGAACCATAATATTAAGTTTGTTATTATACCAGTACCGGATCAAGGAGAGGGGGGGCTATAGCCCCAAAATTTTAGAGGACCTTTTTTTTTTTTTTTTTTATATAGTCATTTTTAGGCTCTGGCTCATAAAAAGGCCTTCAAAAACACAAATAGCCCTGGGCCCCAAGAAGTCTTAATCCACCACTGTATTATACAGCAGCCTGTCATACACAGTTTTACACAGTTTTGTAATTAATTAGATATTTTAGAATTAATCATAAGATATCTTTAAGTTCAACATTTAATTTAATAGGGGCTTACTGCAATATTCTAATCGACAATTAAAAACAATAACTAAATACCTTAGCAGTAGTTTGAGGATCAGTTGAATGAATAAGATTTAAGATTTTTTGGATATATGTGATAAACACATCGGTCCTAATAAAAAGTATTAATACAAAAAGTTAGATACAATCTTTAATGATAATATTCTTAATTATATTGATCTTTAATATTATTTTTAATAATAAATAATCTTTAATAGAAGGATTCTTTTAAAAGAATTTCATTCAATATCACAAAAGAAAAAAAAAAAAGCCAAAATTTTGAACTATAAAGTTTTTTGTTTTGATTTTATTCAAAATACAATCAAAATAATGTGAATTTTAACTGCTAAGTGTATTAAAATTTGCTGAACATTTGTTGTTAATAAAACTTTTATGACATTCAGAAACTTTAATTGCAGCTATAAAAAAACAATCTATTTAAGAACAAAACTTACTCTGCGATTACTCTAGATATTCTGTCACAAGCCATTAGATCCATTAAAAGGTCAGCAGCATATTGGCAACACATGGAGTCTTCTTTTGTGACCAAAGTATTAAATATTAGTTGAATAATATTTGTTAAGTTTTTTCCATAAAATACCTTCATCCCCATTTCTTCATTAAGTACAAGACTTGTTAATAATGATAAACTAGTTATGCTGTATGACAAGTCAGAATGGGAGAGAAGTTGGAACAGTTTTTTGTAAAGCAGTTTGACATCATCCTAGATGTAAAAAAACTCTATTGAAGATATATTTATTAAATTTTAATAAAATAGGAGGACTAAATTAATTTAAACAAAAGAGGGATATTAAATAAATCAAGAAAGATAAGAAAGAAAGATAAAAATAGAATATATATAACATAATAAAAAGAAAAAATAAGACAAAGAGAAAAAAAAACATTTGAATGATAAAACTCTGAAGTTAATCTGATAACAAAAAACTTAGAAATCTAGCCAGGCAGAAATCTAGCAAAATCTGAAAAAATTAACTCGAGAGTTAACAATCGACAAAGATAGCTGTAAATAAGATATGTAAATAAAAGAAAACAAAAGAAGGAAGATGTATGTAGGAGATTTGTAGAAAATTTATATAGAAGATCGAAATAGGATATAAAAATTAAGGGCAGATCTTCTAATGATACCCTTTCTCTTTTATAGAAGTACAAAAACATATTGTAAACATAGTTGGACCTGATCTTGCAGCCTACCTTCAACCATTGTCACAAAGTTGTAATGTTGCTTATCTTACTCTTTTCTATAAATACTATAATGAGCGCTGCTATAAAGAGCTAGCATCTCTTGTGCCATCTGCTAAAATTTATTCTTGTGTTACTCATCATTCAATTAAGTCTCATCCTTTTACTGTGTAAATTTTCTAAGTGCTCCAAAAATTCTTTTTTGTTTTTTTCCTTCAACATTATTTCTTTAGAATACGCTCCCATTATCTTAATTTCCTGATTCATATAATTTTCAATCTAAGTCATCTGTTAATTGGTATCTTGCTTTAAAAACTTCATCTTTTCTCTTGCAGTAAATTTCAATTCTAATAATGGTTGCTTGCAGCCTTGTTGGAAGTGGAGCTGTTTAAAAAAAAAAAAAAGGATAATTGTTATTGTAAAGTTCTGCATTCAGTTTGTTAAGTATTTCTTCCAAATTAAAGTAAGTTGGAAAGACCTAAATTACCAGAACTTTGAAAATCAACTTAAATATTCTTATAAGAAATACAGATGAATTGATTACTCTTTTAATTGTGTTTAGACTTTTGTAGAGCTATCACAAAATGTGTGAATTTTTTACATTTAATCTAGAAAAAAATACATTTGAAAAAAAATTGCTCTTAACCATTCAAACCAGGTATGGGCAACATTGGACATCTTGTGGGACAAACTTAAGTGTAACAAACATATTCTTGAGACATGTTTAAAAGTAATAACATTTAAAAATAAGAAACAAAAAAAAAAAATAAAAAAAAACTAACTTTTCAAAATGTTTCCAATTTTAATAAAATTTTCTTCATTACTTGCATTATGTTTTAAATCTGATATTGTTACTGAAGCTAGATATATGTTTAACATTCAGTAATGATCCTGCCTATGCCACTGAGTATTACGGTTGCTGCTGCAATTAAATTTATAATTATTACACAACAAATTTCTTATAAATTTTTCAATTTATTTTTTTTAATTTCATATTTAATCGCAAAATTAGGTAAATGAGAGAATTTTAGAAGACTATGTCAGGTCAGGTTATCCTGCAACTAGTAACATATAACCCAGTACAACCTGCTTTATGTTCAGCTACCTTGTAGGATATGTTTTTTTTTTAGGCAAAGGCTAGAGAAGTTAACTACGACTTAAAACACTTTAGAGAAACCAACTACGACTTAAAACACCTACTTCTTTAGGGCTCTTGGTTGAGTTAAGACTAGATATGGTGTCTCGATAAAAATACTCATCTTAGGTAGACGGTAAATGCATGCGACTACTGAATTGTGGAAGGCCTCCTAGGCAAAGACTTAAAGGGTAAACAGATTTTATCTGCTGACCAGCCTCACACCCCTTATTCATTTATTAGACTGGCATAGATGTATTTATAATACATTGTTTCAAAATTAGGATGTTGAATGCTGGAGCTTTTTTAACTCAAAACATGGGTTTTGCTTGTGTCACTGTTTTTATGACTAGACAACTCATTCTACTATCTCCTAATAAGGGTACAGTTCTAAAACTCAGTTTTATGGCTCTGAGGTCAGATGATAGTCGGGTTTCTAAAACTCTGTGATAGCTCTCAGAGAGGCTGATTCCATTAACAGTTGAAAAGTATTAGAGTACTTACACTGCCATGTTGCGCATTGGTGTCCCTGTTTGTACTTTTGGTGTAATTGTTGAAGCTACATTTGAAGCCCTTTGTTACAGCTTAAGGTTTATTAATTTGAGTTCGGTTGTCTCATCTTGTGATCATAGCGTACATAGTTATTTTTAATATGTAAAGACTTCAATAGTCAAATGCTGGGCATGGGCATTTACATTCGTAAGAATTCACCCATTTGTCGAGAAACTTGGTTTGAATCAACAGACTATTTTTTTATGTGCTTTTATTTAGCACCACTTCACTCTAACGCCATTCACTTTGTTCTATATCACTCTCCTTCATCTCAAGACTGCACTTTTTTATTTCTGATCAAATTGACCAAGCCCTCTCTCTTTATTTTTTAGCCAATATCATTATTTTTGGTGACTTTAATTTTCATTACACTGAATGGCTTGGCTCTAGTGTCAGTGACTCTGCAGGTATTAAGAACCACAACTTTTGCCTTTTTCAATCTTAAAAATAGCCGAGACAATCTGAATCATTTACCTTCTTTACTTGACTTATGTCTTATTTCTGATCCTAATCAGTGCTCAGTTTTTCCACATTCACCCTTATGTGCTTCTGATCACACTTTGATTTCTTTAAAACCATTTTCTCATTCTTCTTCATCATCAGAATCCCCCTTTCATTGTACCTCTTAAATCTACTTTAAAGATGACTGGGACTCTTTTTGTGATTTTCTTTGTGATGGCTCCTGGGTAGAAATCTTTTATCTTCTGCTAAAAAATATGCTTTTTACTTAACTTCTTGGTTTAGGGCTGGCACGGAATCTTTTATTCCCTCTCTTCTAAGTCAAGCCTCACTCTTTTCCATGGTTGTCCTAGCATTGAGCTGCTGCAATTTTCAATCAAAACCATTACTTCTATATCTATCTGCAAAACAATTCTCCAGAAAATAGAAATCTGTTTACTATAGCTAGAAACCATTTTAAAAATATTTTATCTATCAGTGACAAACATGGAGTTTATTTTTTGGCAACATTGGGGGAGGAGGGGGATTAGGGTGTCTCAAAAAACAAGATTTTTAAAATAATATGCTCTCATCCCCTAAATGTATTCTATCTAATGCAAAAACACTAGGTTTAAATTTTTTTTTAATAAAAAATATTTTAAGGGGTCCCTCAAGACCCTCGAATATTTAATGGGTCCCTAATATTTTCGAAAAAAAAGTTTTTCAAAAAAATGTCAACCTGGTACTCAAATGAAGCGAAATTATATAAAAATTTTAAAAATAATATTCATTTCGAAACAAAATTGCTATTTATGGTTTTATTACATAAAAAATTGCGTTTTTTAAGAAAAAATAAAAAAAAAGGAATTTCTAATGTTTTTTTATGATAATTTTGATTATTAAGTTAAAAATATTTCAAATTGAATATTATTTTTTAAATATTTATATAATTTCGCTTCATTTGAGTACCAATTTGACATATTTTTGAAAAACTTTTTTTTCGAAAATATTAGGGACCCATTAAATATTCGAGGGTCTTGAGGGACCCCTTAAAATATTTTTTATTCAAAAAAAATTTAAACCTAGTGTTTTTGTATTAGATAGAACACATTTAGGGGGTTAGAGCAGATTATTTTCAAAAATGTTGTTTTTTGGGACACCCTAAGGGGGATGATGTTCTTAAGCACCCCCTCCCCCCACACACAAACTTTTTCCCCTAGTTAAAACCAGTGCCGCGACAATCATTTTTTGATCATAATTTTACCATTTGTGTTTATCTTGTTTAGTTTTATCATATAATAAATAGTTGATTTAAAAGCATCTCTTTGAATACATGAATTTACCGGTGGGCATAACAATGTTATTTGAGTTATGTTAAAAAAACTATTTTGCTTAGGAATTTAATAAACACTTTCATTGCAATTACCATGCTATTTGTAAATAATTATTGAAAATTGTTTAAATTATTTAAAACATATATTAACTATATTTTAGTAAATTTGATTTTATTAGTTATTATTGTTTTAAATAATTAGTATTTAAATGTACTTTAAAAATTTTTAATCAATAACTACATTACATATAGTTATTCAAATTTTTTTATTTTAATTCACCTCCTCAAGGCCGAGACGGCCACTACAGACGAGGAGGCTACTTATTTTGTGGCTATAACCCTCTCTCAACTCTATAACTCCGAAACACGAACCTTGACGAACAAGGCCGCTGCGCGGAGAAACGAGTTGAGCGCGGTACTACCAGGGACGTGTTGGGGATCGAACTCGGAACCACTCGTTTATGAAGCGAGCGCTCTACCACTACACCACTACCGCAAATACAAGACATAAATCTATTTTGTTAATTTTACAAATATTACGCTATTTACAAATATAAAAGTTTAACTTTCACTCAAGATTTAAAGTGATTTTAAGGTGCCTTTTAAATAAAAGATTAACTTTCACTAAAGGTTTAAAGTGATTTTAAGGTGCCTTTTAAATTAAAGATAATTAAAGAAGAGAAAATTCAAGTAAACATAAGTTTAAAAATATTTTTTTGATTAAAAAACATATATTTTAAAAGTTTAATTTTTTTATTCATTAAGTATAATAAAACAAAATTATGTTTAAATAAGTTACATATACTATGGATTTTTTTAAATATTAAAGACAATAAAGTTTAAAAATAACTAGATCTTAATAAAACTTTAGGTTATTGTCTTTGTTATTTTTATTATTTTAGTCAAAAAGTATATAAAAAATTATTAAGTCAAAAAGTATTTAAAAAAGAAACAAAACTTTCTGAAAAAAGTTTATGGTTTGTTTTTTTATTTCCCTTGTGGATCTAAAATAGAAAGTTTAAGATCAAAAGTTCATTCATTCATTCAAAAACTAAATTTGCGCAAAAGTTATTAAGACTGAAACTTTTTACTTTGGTTTATTTATTATCAAAAAGATTATCAAATCATGCTTTTGCACATATAATTTAGTTGGTTTTCTATTCAAAATCCCAACGAAACATTAATATAAGACAATCATAAAAGGTACACTCTCTGTACAAGAAAAAATAAAGAATTCTTCAGTTTATTTTTCTTGAAAATTTTTAGTTCATTTTTCTTGGCGACCCTCTTCATCTACTTTTCATTTCTTTCCACCAGACATAATTTGTGTTTACTTTTCATTCAATAAACTGAACTTTTTCTCTACCTGCCATTTTAACAAAAAAACTTCTTTTTGGGATAAAATTTGGATGACATAACATGGCAAACCAATTGAAATTCGAAAAATAAATCTTTTTAACTCTTTCATTATGTCCATAGTATAGTTATCAAATCATAATAAACTAATTATGGACATAATGGAAGAGTTAAAGCTAATTTTTTATAACAGAATCGCTTTTTTAGTAAAACCCTTATTCGCAGATAAGGATTGAATATGTGATATTTACAAATTCTTTCTACAAATAGCCACAAATAAACAAGGGAGGACGGAAGGAGTATATATCAGAGTTCTCCAACAGGTAAATTCTCATTATCACCATTAAGAAGCATTGCTTGATCGCCTTGAATCAATTACAAAAATACAAAGGGATGAATAGAGAACCATCTATTAATTGAACATAAAAAATATCCTTTCATTCAGAAAAATATTTAAAGATTGTTGGTAGAAAAATTAATACTAATTCAAAAAATGAAAAAAATCATGTGTTTGATTTTTTTTTATTATTGCAATAAATTTGCTTTATTACTATTATTTTTTTTTTTTAACCATACCATTGACTTTAAACAAGACTGCATATTTTTGTTGTGATGACAAATATTTGCAACAACAGCTAGTGCAGCCAAAACATGATCTGAAGACTTTGATGTGTGACTATAAAGTAATAAAGAAAACTATTAAGTAGTCAAGATAAATTAATTAAAGTAAAAATTTATAACTCAACACTTACATTATTTTAACAAGATGACTGATTAAGTCACTAACATATATACCAGGAACAAAAATTTTATTTTTATATGTCATTTTCTGCATCAAACTTAAGCTCTGAAATTAAAATATTTTATTTTAGATTTAAATTATAAATTTCTTATTTATTTAAAAATATTAATACAGAACAAGAACTTTAACAAAATAAAACTCTTTTCTAAATTAAATATTAAAAACAGTGAAAGGTTATTTAACAGATACAAAAAAAGAAAAAAAAATTACAATTATTGTTAACATTAAAATTCATATTCAGGTTTCAAGTGAAATAAAATTTGAAAATAAATAAATTATTAAACTAAAATAAAAGGCTTCATATCTTAAATAATTAGGCAAAGTGTTAAATTTTAAAATTAGTTCTTTATTTCTAATACAACCAATATAGTTAATGATTAAATTATTTTAAATGATTTTGACAATGAAAGCATAAATTTCCAGCGCCCAAGGTGCTATTTAATTTTGGCATTCAAACCAAGTATAACAAACTAAATTAAACAACAATAAAGATCAAGAATAAATGGTATTTTATTTTAATATGGAAGGGGTACTTTTTATGGTGGGCCAATACCAAATACCCATGCTTACCTTTATTCAAAACAACTCTGAATAAAATAAATTATTTATAACTGTTTAAAGCTTAGATGCAAAGTACCTGCAATTTAAGTTGATTATTGGAGCTGTCATAATTTCGTAGAATAAAAGTCACTAAAGATGTTCCAAGATTGAATTTTTTTTGTAAGCTAAATCTGGTTTCATTGTTATTAGCTACAAAAAAAAAAAAACATAAATAATAACTAACAACTTTAAAAAAAAGAGAAAATTTTTACTCTATAAATATATATAACTAAAATTTGAGAAAAATATCCGGAAAAAGATATTTCCTAATATATATATATATATATATATATATATATATATATATATATATATATATATATATACATATATACATATATATATATATATATATATATATATATATATATATATATATATATATATATATATATATATATATATATATACAGATGATGATGATGATGATGATGATGATGATGATGATGATGATGATGATGATGAACAAAATGACTTTTAAGACTTACCTAGTTGAGAAAGTGCCATTAATGACTTGACATATACTGCAATATTTAAATTTGGTGTATTAATTAAGCTGACAAGAACAGAAAGACTTTCAGTGTAGATAATTTCTTTTGTTGAAAAACTATTGAAAGATCCACCATGTGTTGTAATGCCTATCAAAACCTGAAAGTAAAATTTTTTATCAATGTTGCTGATTTTTTATATGTACTAAGATGGTTTTTTAGACTAACATTTGAATAAAGTTACCCACTAGAACTAACATTTTAATCTAAAAATAAGTTAATAAAAATTAATTTAATGGTTGCATATTTAATATTGGCCTCTAATATTATAATAAATATAATGTAATATACAATTTGATAAACAGTATTTCATTATATTTATAAGTTTAAATATTTAATTTGTTAAGAAACAGCCATTAATAACTCAATATAAACTGCAATATTTAAATTTGGTGTAATTAAGCTGAAAAGAAATGATATAACATTTCCAAAAGATTTCAAAGAAATTATATATCATTTAGATCAGCAAATAGACTCACAAATTCAATTACTTTTAAATCCCACATCTTCAATAGGACACAATTATACAATACAGTAATTAAATTAAAATTATACAGTAAAATAGTTCTTAGATATTAAATTAGAGATAAAAATACAATTATTTAATATAAATCTAAATTGATTACTACATAATTACTCATTTGTAATACTTTCCTAACGTTTATAATTTGAAAAACTTACATCAATTTGTCTTTGAAGATCTTGTATATTTTGTTCGCAGGCATTTTGAATAAATTCATTGTATGCTGCACACAATGATTTAAAACAGGCATTAGTATCCCATGACATTTTTTTTTTGTATAGCACAACTGATTTAACTGCTAAAAACATATCTGTACATTGTTAACACAACAAAAAAATCTAATAAAATTACTTAAAAGTATATCATCATCATCATTATCATCATCATCATCATCATCATCATCATCATCATCATCATCATCATCATCATCATCATCATCATCATCATCATCATCATCATCATTATCATCATTATTATTAGTGTTATTATTTTTATTATTAATAACTACTGGCATCCAATTTGTTGGTTGATATAAAAACAAACAAAAAATTGTTATACTGAATTTATAAGAATCACTTCTGTAATTAATACAAAACTTGGTGATATTTGTGTCACAATAGTCTATTGAATAGAAGATTATGATAGATCCAGTTTATGTAAATAAATAATTTGACATACATTAATGTGCTTAAAATAGAGACGCATGCAAATACAGGTATGAAATGGTTTTCAACTTAGAAAGCCCTTTGTAAATGTAAATGAGTGCATTTATGTAGTAAAAATCATTGAATAATTGATAATTATACTGATGTAAATGTTTAACTTACTAACATAGAAATTTCTAATTAATTTATGAATTCTTTATCAGGAAAAAAAACAAAACTACAATCTTAAAATAAACAAATTACGCTGTAAAATATCATTATAGCAAAACAAAATAAAATTCAGAATCTCGCGGCATATTTTAGATTCTTTGTTAAGATGAATCTTTGTTAGAGAATTCTAAATCAAAAATACTCTGGCGTACGTCACACGTCTTATGCTGCGTCAGGAAATTATTTTGCAAGGAAATATTGTTCCAGAAAGAATAACTTCCAGGAAATTGTACACAGTATTGAATACAAAAACGTCTACTAAGCGATAATTTCACCGAAACCGTCGGTGAATATATAGCTTAGTAGACGTTTGGTGATTTGAATTTGTCGGTAACACTGTTAGTGTCACCGACAGATTTATTTAGAAAATTATGATGTATGTACACTTCGCTACGGACATCTCTATAAAACTGATTGTCTGAATTCTCTTTTCCCCTTAAATACAATGCGTTGTAGTATTTAAATTTACACAGAAGTAAACAAAAAATAATAAATTAGAAAATATCAAATATTAAAAGAACTAAAATTGTCTCTGAAGACTTGGATGTATTTTATTTAATAACTTTTAACTTAATTCAATTGTTAAAAACTATACTAATGAACTAAACCATGCTAACATGCATATCCTAGATAGCAAAATAAACTTTAGGCTTTTCTAGGTCATCTTAAACTATTATAGCAATGTTTTAATTTAATGTTAAAATTCATTCAACACATTCTTTTAAGTATTTTTTGCCATTCCTTGCTATATAATTTATTTGGTAAATTAAAAAAAATGTTATTGATATCTAATTTTTGGTGAGCATATATTTATATATGTGAATTTAATAAAAAACTTTAAAATCTTTGTTATTTATGAAATATTGTTATTTATAAAACTAAGAAATATTTTTGGGTAAGGTTATAGGGAGCACTTCTCTTGCTCATATAATAAAATGTGTAATGTTATTGTATTAAGAGAGAGGGGCAATAGGCTCTACATGGTAGAGACAAACTAACCAATCAGGAAACTTTTTATTACCATTCTTGGGATTCTAACCAATCATTGGTTAGAAACCCCAAGAATATTTCATTCGTTCAATGACATTGATGTTTAATCAGCATTTATAGATTTTTTATTTATAGATAGATTATTATATTTATAGATTATTATATTTATAGATTGATAGTGATTTTTCCATCCAGATTTTCAGTTTCCTTCAAATTTGTTTAAAAACTTTAACTAAGCAAGTACGTTGACTTGAAAAATTACTTTAACATTTAAATTTTTTTGTTTTCCAAATAAATACAAGAACATATAGACTAAGTAAGTAGTTTTTTTTTAACTTTTAACTATCTGTGTATGCAAATAAAAATATGATTCTGTTGATTTTTAATTAGTTAAATTAGTAAGAAAAATTTGTTTTAATTAGCAGGGGTTTAATTAGGGGCATTGAAAAAAGCGATTAAAACAATCAAATATTATTGATCAGCAGCCGTATTCTCATCTCTCTGTTAAGCTTAACGGAGTTTTATCTGAAATTTCAATACAATATATCTAAGTAAAGAAATAACAAAAACCTTATTTAAATTTTTTAAAAGAAAACTTATACTAAAATAAAACATTTATTTTTAAAAACTAATATTTTTAAAGAACTTTTTTATTAATGTAGTTAAAAAGAAATTTTTTACTAACGCTCCGTTAAGCTTAACGGAGAGATGAGAATACGGCCCCAGAAAAATAAAGTCTATGTTTTCATCTCCTAAACATTGCAGAGATAAAAAATAAATTGAAAACAAAAAATATTTATTTGTAAAAAAATTTTTTTTTATTTTTCTTTAAATAAAGTTTTGATAATGGAGCTTATTGCCCCTCTTACTTAGAGAATAGTTTGGAGAAAAAGACAGAGGAAGGAGGCAGGAAGTCCTATGCAACTACCCGGACAACAACAAACGCCTGCACTTTTGTCATCTGTAAACATATGTCTGCCGACCAGGCATTCTAGCATTATTACAAATATTTTTCAGCGTTAGTGCTTACAATGCTTCTGCCTCAATATCGCTACTACATGTATTGCTGTCAACATCATTGTCAACTACAGCATCATCAACAGAATCACTTTATCTTCTGCACTGTAGAAAGACTACAGACACTATTTTCTACTTCATCTTCGAAAAAGTCTTCTATTAGAAATTTTTTTCTCAAAAAACTGCTTCCCAGAGTTGCACAAACTTCTGGGCATTGACGGTCGGCAAGAATCAGGTTTTGCTACAGAGAACGCCTCAGCATTTGTGATGAATGTTTGAAAGTAGAAGCAACAAAGAAAGGTAACAACCCAGAAATAAAAACCACAAGATAAAGACGAAATCTTCCACCTGGAATTGATAGAGACAGTTATGAAGACAACAACACTGCGTACCTAAAGTGTGGTATTCATGAGGATCAAGAATAATATGTGTGCTGTGACTTATATGATATTTGGTACCATATTATTTGCACAAAAATTCTAAATAGAGCAGGTATTAAAGCCATCGACTGGATATTTAGACTTTTATTAGTTCATCACAATTATAAAAAGCAAAGCTTATTTTTATATACATTTCATAATTGTTTTTGAAATTGTAATCTAATTATATAATGCAGTACTTATAAATTGAAAGCAATTAAACTTGTTTGAAACTTTACAATGAAGCTTGATTGATAATAGGTGTATTACACGCACATTTTTGACTGTAAGAGAGTATTTGATCCTTAGGTTCATTTTTTTTTTAAAGCTTTTTATTCATAATATTTTTTTCTTGCTTTGTACATGGTCAGCTGCATGACATATATTCAAGAATAAGATTGTTTATTAAAGTGTTTTTATATTTATTACTTATTAAAACTTGAATTTGTGATAGAAATTAAATTAATTGTTATTAAACTGTAAGTTGACAAATATCACCAGGATATTTCAAAGTTTTCATGCCAACTAAAATGTATTATACCCTTTATTGTTTTTTTTAATATATTTTTTAGTTTCTTGGTTTCTGTTTTTTTAGTTTTGTTTGTCTAATGTTTAAACATGGTTTAAATTTAGTGAATTTTTATGGTTTGAAATTTACATTATTATTAATGACTCAGAAGTCAAGGGGAAACTGGATTCTATACAATTTCGGTTAAACTAATTTGTTTTCTGGTATTATTATAAAACCAGTTTTTACAGTTAAATACCTTATTGCTACTGTATATTTTTTATCATTGTCATTAACACTTTTATAATGGTTATAAAACTCATAACGGATTATTGATGTTTAACTGCCTTTCTAATATTTTTTAGAATAGCAATGCCGCGGCGTCGTTAAATCAGGGCCGACGATACGCCGGGGGGGGGGCACAATCCTCCAACTTTTTTTCTAAAGGACCCTTTTTTTTAATGAAATTTTAAATATGCAAGTCTTTTTGAAAAAATTTACGGTTGCGCACCCCCTCCCCCACTTCGAAACCCGTATCGTTAGCCCTGTAAATGATGCGCCGTCCTATAATGACGGTTAAAATCCTATTTTTATGCCACCTTGCAGAATAAATTATTCATATTTATATAAAAAAGTAATTTTGAGATTATAGTGTAACATCAGTATAACCCTTTAACCTTATTATAAAACCATTAGGTTTTTAATGATGCCACAATTAGTACTAACCAATTTTCTTGGATAACTACTTCATTACAATTGTTTACCAACTACGATTGTCCCATGAGTTCGAATACGTAAGGCTAAGTTTTTAAAACTTTTTTAGTTTTAGCATTTATAGTTTTTTTTCTTTTATGTGTTTTTAAGTTTGTTAGTCCTTAATGTTATTGATAACAGTTTAAAACCATTTATAATGTACTAACGGTACGGATCCGTAAAAGACGGATCTTGATAAGTTAATTTAACACCGAACATTTCTATACTTATTAACTTCAATATTTTTGAAACAAAATTATCCTTAAAATATATGACAGTTGCAAAACATTTCTCCCGGTGTTTTCGGAAACTAAAGACTAATGAAATATAACTTTCTTATTAAGGCTTAATAAAATAAAAGCATTAAGGTTTTCGAAAATATAACTTTCTCGTTGAAATTATACTTATTTAAAAAGAAAAAGAGGACACAGAAACTGTTCAAGATGTCTAGTTATGTCAAATGTTAGCTCTCTTTGTTTGATATGCCTTATAGGAACTTTTCTGTTACAAACTCTTAACAAAATCTTTCAATTAAGCTGCTTTTAATGCTGGGTCTCGCTAAATTTAAAGTTATTATAGCTGTTGTTTGTGGCAAAAACTGGCATTAAAAAGGCATGTAATGGAAACCATCAGGGTTGTAATCACCAAAGTGATAAAAGTATAAATGGTTTCCATTTAGATATAAAATATAACGGAAATATGAAAAAAAGACAAAGCAAAAATGGCAAGTATATCAATACAAAATATTAATTCCAAAGAGAAAAAATATAAATATTACTGAAAGAAACAAAAACATTTTTCTTGAGATAAAATAAAGATACAAACTTTAAAAAAAAATCGCAAAAAAATATATTTAACATTAAAAAGTATTTATAAATACAATTTAACATTGTTTCAATATTACATAGTTTTTAGTAGATGCTATAAAGATTAACAAAACTTTGTTTTAGTTGTTAGGAAACGATTAACATTTAGAACATTTCTTAAATTGTTATATATAGGAAAACTTTTGAAAGCAAGTTATAAGAGAAGGAGTTCAACCTAAAAATGGAAAATTTCTTTTATTGGAAACACTTATTACACCTAATTACACATTTATGTGTTAAGTACGTCAGTGGCGGATTACGACTTTTAGGGGCCCCGGGCTATTTTTGTTTCTGGAGACCTTTTCATGGACCAGAGCCTTAAAATGACTAAAAAAAAAGAAAAAGTAAGGTCCTCTAAAATTTTGGGGGGCCCCTAAATTTGCGGGGATCGGAGCTATATCCCCTCCCCCGTTGATCCGGCACTGAAGTACGCTATTTATTTATTTAAAGACTCAAAATTGTGACTAAATAGATAACAAATAAGAAACTTACTTTAAGAGATGGTTTTTTTTCAAGAAAATTTCAAGAACTATTGTTACAAGTTTAGATTATTAACTCTTTTTGAGAAAGCAACACCAAACAGAAATAATCCCAGTAAGATAAATATATATGTTTTGTTTAAAAAATGAATCCTTGGCTTTTAGTTAATGATTATACGTAGCCAGTTTCAGTAATAAAAATATTCTCAATAACTCAAACCTCCAAGATACTAAGAAATTAGCTTGTATGAGAATGATAGAGTTTTGAGAGTAAAATCCATAACTAAGGGCTTTTCTGGAATTTTCTGGAAACTACATTAAGTTGTTAAAAGTTATCAAGTAATCCAGAGTTTATTGTACACATTTTAACACACAAAAACACAATAAACTTTTTCAAAATATAAATCCATATAACCTTTTATAACACAGGTTAACGCGTAATAAATAACACACATTACCACATTATAAGACAGATAAAAATACTTACTTAAACAAATACAACATTGTTTGTGTAAAATTATTTTGTTTAATGAAATATTTGAAATGCACGTTTATCAAATTTAAAAAATAAATCATCAAACGACTTGGTTCTGGAACGTGCTACATGTGCGGCCGTGGCGCAGTGGTTATAGCGCTTGCTTTATAAGCAGGAGATCCAGGTTCGAAACGAGCTATGGGCATATTTTCGCGTCACGATAAGGAAGGAGGTGAAATTTCCTAGTTAAATGCACTTCCGCGGTGCTTTGTGACAAGACCATTAGGTCTTCTTGAGGCACCTAAAAATAATTAAATAAATAAATTAAACAAAAAAAAAAAAAATTTGGTCGTGTCAAAACTTAGGCTTTTTAGATAAACACCAACTTTATCAAATTTAATAACACTTCGTATACTAACTTTTATTGAAAAAAAATATTCGATTTTGATATGTTTAAATTTAAATCAATATTTTGAAGTTAAACCCAGTGGGCACCCGACGTCAATCCGACGTCGGATTTACGTACGATTTTCATCAGCGATGTCAAAAGACCTATTCCGACGTTGTTCCGATGTCAGTAAAATGACGTCGGGCGATGTCTTTATTTTAACATCGCCTGACGTCGTTTCGATGTATTTTGACGTTGTTCCAACATCTTATAAAAGACGTCCAAAAAACGTCGCAGTACTGACATCGATCCAACGTCGATAAAAAGACGTCGGGCAACGTCATAATATTAACATACTCCGATGTCTTTTGACGTCTTTCGACGTCAATCCAACGTCCTTAAAACAACGTCGGAACAACGTCGTAAGACATCGCTGATGAAAATTTAATCCAAACCCAACAATATGTGTGCAATTGCGCTCTTCAATAAATATGTGAACTAAGCGTGTTTTTTATTAATGGAAAGAAGTTTGAATAATGGTTGATAAAACATCATGAGGTTTTGTATAATGCACTAGCATAGTTTTTTAACTATTAACATTTTCGAGTATACATTTTTTATAATATATAACTATTCGTTTTAATATTTATATAATATTTAAACAAAATTATTTCTCATCAAAGTAATAATTCCCAAATAGCTACAAGTATAAATTACTAAATAAACACATTAAATAATATATCTCTGTGGTGTAGTGGTAAGCGCGTAGGATTTAGTGTAAAATAGACCGAGGTTCGATTCCTGCTGAAGGCAACGTCTTTTAGTTTTCAAAAAACACGTTGGATTTACATCGGAATGCCGACGTCGCGCGATGTCAGTTTATCCGACGTCAAATAACATTTCCATTTCCAACGTAAACCCAACGTCGATCCGACGTCGAGATCCGACGTCGCTCGACGTTCGTTCGACGTCGAAATGCCCACTGGGAACATATTAAATAAAAAATATATCTGATCTACCAAAGTAATGTGGGTCAAAGAAACAATTGTTTAAAAAAGACTTTAGAAACTGCAAGCTAATAAACAAAAGGTTAATGAGAATTTTTTTTTTTTATATCTTATTTGGAATTTAAAAAAATATTTGAAACAGTCTATTTCTATTAAACTTATGATATGGACACATATCCTGTGGGCCCTGTAATAATAAGTAGTTATTCAATTTTCTAAATGCCAAAAAGGCTTTATACAGTAAATCTATAAATAAAAGTAACGTTTAAAGTTCTAAATTTTTATTTTTATAATAACCGATAAAACTAACAAACCACTTTAGTAGATGTCGCTTCTGTTACTGTTGAGTCAGCACTTGTAGATATTGTTGCACTGGTAATGAGAAGTATTTATAAAAATGTGTCTAAATAAAAATCTAATGAAAAACTACACTTTTTTGATTACATTAACTACAAATAGATTTTATAATGCGTTTCAACAAGACATTGCACCGCTTGTCTGGCAAGGACAACATTCTTGCTCTCATCAAATCCAATTCACGTTTTAGCAAAGTACATCACTTAGCTAGCAAAACACTCTTGCTGTAAACTAAGCCAAGTCGCAACACTTTGAAACCACAGAAACAACCTAAAAACTAAAAGAAAAAAGAAATAGTATAATAGTAAATTAGAAGAAAACGATAAACATCGAAATAAATAAAAATTGAATAATGTCAAAATAAAAAAAAATGATTATGATTCAATTATTTTGTTAATTAATAGGCTACCTGTTAAAAATAAATCCTCAGTCGATATAGCAGCATTCCTTGCGTGCAGGGCCGCCGCGTGGGGAGGGTCACTGGGTACTTTTTACCTGGGCGCAGGATTAGAAGGGGCGCACAAATGAAAACTTTTTTTTTTTATAAAATAGATACGCAGGGCTTTAATGGAAAATCTCTTTAAACTCCTAATTTAAAAATGAATTGTTTACTCAAAAATACAGCATTAGCCGAATTCATATTCGGGAGTCTGACACTAGCCAAAACCGTTGCGGGAATATATTACTTTTAAGGCCTGCTAGGTTAAAAAAGAACATATATAATCATATATATATATATATATATATATATATATATATATATATATATATATATATATATATATATATATATATATATATATATATATACATATATATATATATATATATATATATATATATATATATATATATATATATATATATATATATATATATATATATATATACATATATATATATATATATATATATATATAATATATATATATATATATATATATATATATATATATATATATATATATATATATATATATATAAAATATGGAATGGTTGCATCAATGGAGTTAAAAAATGCCACCAAAACAATCCATTGAGACTATTACATTAAGTGAAAAACAGCGCTAAAAGAGAAACCAGTGCAAGATTGATTCAAGTTTAGAAAAATTGATAAGAAATGAGGCAGCCAGGCAGCGTGAAATTATAAAGTGCATCTTAGATGTAATTCTCTTTTTAGCATCACGCTTTTGGGATATATTAGTGAATGTTAATTATTATATTTTTATTTATGTCATAATTTATTTTTATTATAATTAAACAAAAAGTTGCAATAAAAAACTCGCAAAGCACAAAAAGACCCTTTAGTTACATCAGAAAGAGGTTTCCTGGTGTCAACATGAAGGTAAACATATTATTGTGCATTTTTTGGGTTGGAGTTCTCAAAATAAATTTATAAAAAAGTGCGAAAGATCGTCCACGGTGCCATCATTAAAGATGCGCATATAGTAATTTACTATTTTATCCTTGTCGACGGAACGCCTGGCGTCTCTTATACTGAGCAAATTGCATTTGTTCTCTGCTTTGTCTACAATGGTATTGATAAAAGACAGGTAGTTAAGGAGCGCTTTCTTAAGGTCGAAAATCTTAAACAAAAGAAAGTTGTGGATATTGCCAAGATAATTATGGATTTCTGCTATCAAAATGACATCAATCTGAAGAACTGTCGAGGTCAAGGGTACAACAACGGTGCCAAAATCTGTCTGGTGTGTATAAAGGAGTAAAAGCGATCATCCTTCAGAGAAATCCTGAAGCTTTCTACATACTATGCAGCGCTCATAACCTTAACCTAGCTGATGTTCATTCCCTTGTATCTTTTGTAGAAATGAAGAACTATATTGGCCGGATTCAGTTACTCTATAATCTTTTTAGTGGAAGCCCTATACAATGTCAAATCTTGACCTAGACAACTGCTTTGTCTCTTCATTAAACCTTACAAACCCGATGGAGTGCACGGATTGAGACTTTGAAGCCGTTGGTTAAGCAACCTAGAAAAATTATTTTTTCTTTGCTGAAACTTCAGGTACTTGATTTAACTGCTAATCTATTGAATGACATAAAAGTTTGGAGAAATGGATTTTTTGATTTGAGTTTATTATCATGACAACCTTCTGGTTTGAAGCACGCTAAGCAATTGTCAGCGTGTCATTTCAATCAGGAAACATTACTTTAGAGGAAGAGATAAAGCTTATGAGGGTTCCTATTGAGGATCTTATGAATTTAGAAATTCTTGGCCCAAATTAATTAATGAAGCACATTTGGTTACCTCCGGTCTAGCTAGTTATTAAGAGTGCCATCATCTGGATATTCTGAAGCACGCCAAGCTTTTCAGTCCAAAAGAATAGCTCACTTCAATGGAGCTATTAAATAGAATCTATTAAAAAGGTCTAGAGTCTATCTTCGAATCAATAGACATTTTGTTACGTATTTTTAACACAATTCTCGTTTCCATTGCCGAAAGAGAGATCTTTCGGTAAGCTTGGTCTAGACAACATTAAGATCTACAATAAGTCAAGACCGGCTTACCAATTTCTTACTTATATCTAATGAAAACGATCTTGCAAAAAATCTGTGCTACAACGAGGTCATTCCAAACTTTGCTTTAAATTATGCCCGAAGAGTAAAATTCTCATGAAGCAATTAAAATATCTATTACATTGAAAACTCTTCGTTATTCGCAATGTAATAGAGTTCAGTAACATGTCAATTTGTGCTTCTTTTTTACTTTTATTTCAAATTTATTTTAAAAATAAATAGAAGCCTCCTTGACTGTATTTACTCCCTCGGACTTTAAAAGTGAATTTAGTTAAAGAAAAAAAAAAGACAGTATTTGGACAGTACCTAAACTTTTTTGGGCACAATAGCGCCCTGTCAATATGACAGGGCGCTAGATAAGTTTTGACCCCGGGCGTCATTAAGGGTCGCGGCGGGCCTGCTTGCGTGTTCTACCTATTTGTCAGTCGATGTAGCAACACACCTCGCATGTTCTACCTCTTTCCTAGTTTTTCGATACTATTTCTAAATCCAAATTTCGATATTATTCCATAAAGGCATTACCGACATTTTATCTTCTAAATAAACTTCGATTTTTTTTTTTTCTCGAACCAATTCCCTAAATTTAATTTTAGATATTATTTCCAAAAAACATTTCGAATAAAAATTTTTTGATAATATTCTGTTTTTTGAGCAATTCTCCGATACTTTTTTGTTTTCTCGACATAACATTATAATACAACACAAGCATAAAAATAATTCATGTATAAGATATTTACACACTCACAAAATATAAAAACTTACAACCTTAACACATATAAATACATAATAAATAACCCATAAAAATAATTAAATTTATAAATTAAGAAAAATCTATAAGCTAGAAACATTTACAAATGCATACTTATTTTGTAAAATTTGTTCAAAGACATACCTCGAAATGAATGTTTATTAAATTTAAAAAACAAACGGTTATACGACCTGGTTTTTTATATTATAAAATCAAAAAGATTTTCTGTAATTTCTTTAAAAAAAAGTTTTACACGACCTTTTTCTTGAACATGCAACATTGAGTTGACTGTATGAGATGCAAGATTTTGAAGATAAACACAAACTTTATCAAGAGTTTGACCTTTATCAAAAGTTTGACCATTAAAAAGAGCATCGTCTTCGAGTTTTTATTTAATATAACATTTTTTAGATCTTATTACTGATTAAGCAGATATTAAAAGATTATAATAAACATAATAAAGATTTAAGAATACTTTATCACGTGATCAAAAATAGGCCATGCGTGCTAAACCTTCTCTAAAAACTCCGTGTCAAACGCTCATAAATGAGTAACGGCGGCGGCAGCAGCAGCTGCGTTGAATTAATCATTAATTATAAGCGATACGCAATTAACCATGTTTGCTACTTTTAGATTTTTTTAGTTGTATTTATTTTAACATCATGAGGTTATTCAGTTACTTGTGGAGTATTTTGAAATGAAATTTGTTTTAAAAATGCAGTTTTTATTTTTCTGTTTATTTATGAAGATAATGATGAAAATAAGCTGTTATATTTGAAATGAATTATAATTTTTTAATTAATATTTTACATGAAATTCCGAAAAAAAATTTTAATTTTATTTGAATATATGATTATTTGACCTGATCTTATTATTTATTATAAAAGATATTTTTGCTCATTATCAGTTCGATTTTGATATTTAGTTAATCAAAATAAAAACAGCATCATCAAGCTTTTAGTTAGTCATTTTGGTTCTATTTTATTTATCACTTTTGAAAATGTTTTTAAGTTCTAATTTCCATTTTTAGTTAAGTGTAATCATGGTTTATTTTTAGTTAAGTGTAGTCATGGTTTATTTGTTTTTACTTTAATTAAGCAATAAATTTGATAAATATTTTTAATGCTTTTAGTTAAAAGGATCATATATTTCTTTTTTACTTTATTATGTTTTGTTTACAAATTCAAAAATCTACATTATTTTTTCCCAGGGGTGAAGGAACAATGGGGGCTTTGAGTGCTTCAGCCCCTCACTTTTAAAAGTATGTGGGCTTTTAGTATTATCGCTCTCTCTCCCCCCTTATTTTTTAAGTCTGTAAAATTATTATTTTAAAAGTTTTTATCTTGTTTTAAATCACAACTTCAAGTCGCTAGAGGTCGATTAGTATTTTGTATTTGAAATAATAACTTAACGTATTTGCTTCGAATCACGTTATACAAGCTTCTAGTGAGCATTTAGCGTTCTGTATTTAAGATAATTTTTTGTGTTTAAACTTTTTGTGTTTGCTTTGAACAATGTTTTACAATTCAAAAGGGAGCGATTAACGGTTGTGAATATTATATTATTCTATATATAATTCACAATTCCTAATCTTACGTGTAGTATTTTTTTCCTGCTTGTTCCTGCTGTGGGTGTAATGCCGAAAAAAAAGAAATAAATCCTTCCGATAATAATGCAACCAAAAAATGAATGGCAAATAACCCTTGGATTCATCTATCTTACTCCAAATTGAACGTATTTTGCTATATTTGCATCGGTGCTGTCAAGGAAAATCATTTTCAAAATGCGGTAAACATAATTTTTTGACAACTGGTTATGACAATTGGAAAAAGGCTGTAGAAAGAATGAGAAAACATGACCTCATCATCATTTCATAAGGAGGCACAGGAAAAATTGTTTACACTACGTGCAGCAGATTTAAAAACCATAATCAAATGATAAGTCAAATGCATGATAAGCAATGCAATTATCGACCGAACGATGATATTGATGGCAATATTAATCAGTTACTCTTAATGAGGAGTGAAGATTATCTATATATATCGAGCTGGCTGTCAAACAGTAAATACATGTCTCATGATATTTTGATTGAGATGATAGAACTAATGTAAAATTATGTGCTAAAAAATGCACTTAGTGCTATTAAATCGATAATTTTTTTTTTCTGTAATA